GCAAACAGATCAGAGGTGAGGATGGTTACCTTTAATAGCCATTCAAACCCGTTTGTGTCAACTTGTGTGCATGTTATCAGGCCAAAATCACCAAGGTATGTAAACTTTTGATCAGGGTCATTTGGGTAGTTTCTGTTGTCATTATGATTTAAAAAGAGTTAGCACAGTTGATAGATAAAAAAAGGCTTCAGCTACACACTAATCATTAGTGAAAGAAAAGCTTTTGTGTTATCATTCATATTCTCCGCAAAATGGCCAAGAAATTATAAATTCTGCCAGGGTATGTAAACTTATGAGCACAACTATATATATATATATATATACATACAGTGGGGCAAAAAAGTATTTAGTCAGCCACCAATTGTGCAAGTTCTCCCACTTAAAAAGATGAGAGAGGCCTGTAATTGGCATCATAGGTAGACCGCAACTATGAAAGACAAAATGAGAAAAAAAATCCAGACAATCACATTGGCTGATTTGGAAAGAATTTATTTGCAAATTATGGTGGAAAATAAGTATTTGGTCACCTACAAACAAGCAAGATTTCTGGCTCTCACAGACCTGTACCTTCTTCTTTAAGAGGCTCCTCTGTCCTGCACTCATTACCTGTATCAATGGCACTTGTTTGAACTTGTTATCAGTATAAAAGACACCTGTCCACAACCTCAAACAGTCACACTCCAAACTCCACTATGGTGAAGATCAAAGAGCTGTCGAAGGACACCAGAACCAAAATTGTAGACCTGCACCAGGCTGGGAAGACTGAATCTGCAATAGGCAAGCAGCTTGGTGTGAACAAATCAACTGTGGGAGCAATAATTAGAAAATGGAAGACATACAAGACCACTGATAATCTCCCTCGATCTGGGGCTCCACGCAAGATCTCACCCTGTGGGGTCAAAATGATCACAAGAACGGTGAGCAAAAATCCCAGGACCACATGGGGGGACCTAGTGAATGACCTGCAGAGAGCTGGGACCAACATAACAAAGGCTACCATCAGTAACACACTACGCTGCCAGGGACTCAGATCCTGCAGTGCCAGACGTGTCCCCCTGCTTAAGCCAGTACATGTCCGGGCCCGTCTGAAGTTTGCTAGAGAGCATTTGGATGATCCAGAAGAGGATTGGGAGAATGTCATATGGTCAGATGAAACCAAAATAAAACTGTTTGGTAGAAACACAACTCGTCGTGTTTGGAGGAGAGAGAATGCTGAGTTGCATCCAAAGAACACCATACCTACTGTGAAGCATGGGGGTGGCAACATCATGCTTTGGGGCTGTTTCTCCTCAAAGGGACCAGGACAACTGATCAATGTACAGGACAGAATGAATGGGGCCATGTATCGTGAGATTTTGAGTGCAAACCTCCTTCCATCAGCAAGGGCATTGAAGATGAAACGTGGCTGGGTCTTCCAACATGACAATGATCCCAAACATACCGCCCGGGCAACAAAGTAGTGGCTTCGTAAGAAGCATTTCAAGGTCCTGGAGTGGCCTAGCCAGTCTCCAGATCTCAACCCCATAGAAAACCTTTGGAGGGAGTTGAAAGTCTGTGTTGCCCAGCGACAGCTCCAAAACATCACTGCTCTAGAGGAGATCTGCATGGAGGAATGAGCCAACATACCAGCAACACAGTGTGTGCCAACCTTGTGAAGACTTGCAGGAAACATTTGACCTCTCTCATTGCCAACAAAGGATATATAACAAAGTATTGAGATGAACTTTTGATATTGACCAAATACTTATTTTCCACCATAATTTGCAAATAAATTCTTTCCAAATTAGCCAATGTGATTGTCTGGATTTATTTTCTCATTTTGTCTCTCATAGTTGAGGTCTACCTATAATGCCAATTACAGGCCTCTCTCATCTTTTTAAGTGGGAGAACTTGCACAATTGGTGGCTGACTAAATACTTTTTTGCCCCACTGTGTATATACCGTATTTGCCGGCGTATAAGATGACTTTTTGACCCTTGAAATTCTTCTCAAAAGTCGGGGGTCGTCTTATACGCCGGTACACATGTTAGGGGGGCTGCGGCATTAAGTACAGGGGTTTGCAGGGGCTGATGTCTCTTACCTGGATCCAGTCCCACGACGATCCGGTCCAGGAAGCGCGGCGTCTCCTTCAGTTCGGCCACTGGATGTTCGTGCGGCTGCTCGGCTCCGCCTCCTCACCGGTGATTGGCCGCCAGAACTGTAGCTCAGGAAAGGCACACAGGCGGCCAATCACCGGCGAGGGGGCGGAGCCGAGCGGCCCCGCGAAAATTGAGTGCCGGAGCAGCAGGTAAGTGTGCTGTGTAGAGGTGCTGCTGCAACCACATATGCTGGCTGCAGCAGCACCATACGAGAACAGGGTCAGCAAGTCTCAGTGGGAGGAATAGTGCCCCATCATTGGTGTCACCGATACCAATGATGGGGCACTATTCCTCCCACTGATACCAACGATGGGGCACTATTCCTCCCACTGACACCAACGATGGGGCACTATTCCTCCCCCCCACTGACACCAACGATGGGGCACTATTCCACCCCCCACTGACACCAATGATGGGGCACTATTCCACCCCTCACTGACACCAATGATGGGACACCATTCCTCCCACTGACATCAATGATGGGGCACTATTCCTCCCACTGATACCAATGATGGGGCACTATTCCTGCCACTGATACCAATGATGGGGCACCATTCCTGCCACTGATACCAATGATGGGGCACCTATTCCCCCCACTGATACCAATGATGGGGCACTATTCCTCCCACTGATACCAATGATGGGGCACTATTCCTCCCACTGACACCAATGATGGAGCACTATTCCTCCACTGATACTAATGATAGGGCACTATTCCTGCCACTAATGCCAATGATGGGGCACTATTCCTGCCACTAATACCAATGATGGGGCACTATTCCTCCCACTGACATCAATGATGGGGCACTATTCCTCCCACTGATACCAATGATGGGGCACCATTCCTGCCACTGATACCAATGATGGGGCACCTATTCCCCCCACTGATACCAATGATGGGGCACTATTCCTCCCACTGATACCAATGATGGGGCACTATTCCTCCCACTGACACCAATGATGGAGCACTATTCCTCCACTGATACTAATGATAGGGCACTATTCCTGCCACTAATGCCAATGATGGGGCACTATTCCTGCCACTAATACCAATGATGGGGCACTATTCCTCCCACTGACATCAATGATGGGGCACTATTCCTCCCACTGATACCAATGATGGGGCACTATTCCTCCCACTGATACCAATGATGGGGCACTATTCCTTCCACTGATACCAATGATGGGGCACTATTCCTCCCACTGACACCAATGATGGGGCACTATTCCTCCCACTGGTGTGCATTGGAAGAGGGGTAGTCTTATACGGCGAGTATAGCCCAAACACTACATTTTAGCAGGAAAAGTAGGGGGGTCGTCTTATACGCCCAGTCGTCTTATACGCCGGCAAATACGGTATATACATGATTGTGCCTGATCCGATTTAAGAGCGCACACCTCTGTGACCATGGATGATTGTTACCGGTGACCAAATCGAATATCATTTTATTGATTAGTGATCATAGCAATCACATGATAACAATGTAAACAACCTGTCATAAATGGATTTTAAGTAATTAACAGCTTGCATACTGTTATGATCTGTGATAGGCCCACAGCAATCACATGGTACCTGATTATCTGTACCATGTGATTATTTATAGCCAATCACAGATCACAATCATATGTTGTTTATGAATGGGAACCCCATTCTCGACAGCTAAAGCTATTGCTTATACATTAATCATCACTGTGTAAACAATAGCAGTGTAAAAAAATAATCCTGATCAACCCCCCCCCCCCCCCCCCCCCAGAGTAGTACAGTGTCACTATGATGACATTGAGCTATTCTGGTGACAGGATGTAAAAAAAAAAAGTGAATAAAAAATATTTAAAAGTAAAATACTGTCATCAGTCAGTATCCTTGATCAGCCATATGATGACAGTGTACTGCATTGGTGACAGTATGTAAAAAAATAAATGTGAAAAAAAAAAGATTTTTTATTTATTTTATTCATTTTCCAGACAATTGTGACAAAAAGAATTTACACCTTCAAAAAACTTACCATTTCTCTTACTAAATACCTCACACTGTCTACTGTTTAAAAAGGGGTCATTTGGGGGATATTTGTACTGTCCTGGCATTTCAAGGGCCTCAAGAAATGAGATAGACTGTCAGTACACAGGACTGATCAATTTTCAAATAAATATACCATAGTTTGTAGACGCTGTAACGTTTACACAAATCAATTAATATGCACTTCTTGGGATTTTTTTTTTTTAAGACATGTAGCAGAACACATTTTGGCTTAAATTTATGGCTCATAAGTACACATCCAAGAAAGAACTCTAAGCTAGGAATTTCAATGGTTTTGGAGTGATTTACTCTCATTTCCTGCTGTGTCTCTAGGATGGGAAGTGAGAGGCAGTTTCTCCAGCAGAACATAGGAGTGTATTGATAAAACCTGCAAGGAGTTATAACCCTTCCTTACGTTATCCAAAACTAAGGAAAAAAGTTTGGGGTTTACATAGACTTTAAGGGGTTTTCAGTATTCTTACAAGAAACTAAAGATGTTGTGGTCTGATGTGGGGGGACCCCATCATGGAAACCCCACCAATCGGCTGTTTCCACATAAAAACAGTCCCAAGGCTGCTGGCCAATTTGGGGCTGTTATGCTTTTTTTGTCAGTTCCTGATCAGAAAATATGTAATCTTTCTGGACCACAAAAGAAATAATCACGTTCCTTGACGATGAAAAATGCGATTAAATGCCAGTTTTACACTCAAGCATTCTGTCAGTGGCAGTAAGTGAAATATAATGTTAATGAAATACAGTACACAGTACAATCTTTTAGAAATTATTATGTTTGAATTCTCAAAGGAAAACAAATTGTGTAAGTATTCTGTATTCTTTTTACTTGCCAGCTTAGATACGCTACTGAGCAAATCCCCAAGAGAGTGAGTCCCTTTCTCTTTGGAGGATAGTGATGTGGTGATGTTACAATTTCCAAGACAGCAATAGGGAACACAGCTGTGTGCTGGAAAACAAACAAAATCACATTTGTGTTGCATCAGATGGATTGTTATTCAATTGGATATTTTAAAATATACTCTAAAAATATGCTATGATGTTCACTATTCAAATATGAGCTTAAAATAAATGATTTATGAAGATAGTGCGCAGAAAATTATAACACTGGTATGCAAATTTTGAACCTAGATTGGATTCTTTTAGCATAATGTTGAAGAAACATGAAAGATAAAGATGTATTTCTACAAAATGTGTAATGGGAATATAAGCTGCATTGGAGTAAGTGTTCCATGTTAAAAAAAAAATGAGGACTAGAAATGAAAGTAATTGGTGTAATCGGAATACTAAGCTTCATTGGGGTAAGTGTTCCATGCTAAAATAGCAGGAGGACTAGAAAATAAAGTGGACGGTCTAATGGAAATATTAAGTTGCATTGGGCTAAGTGTTCCATATATTAAAATAGCAGGAGGACTAGAAAACAAAGTGGACCGTGTAATGGAAATACAAAGTTGCACTGGGGTAAGTGTTCCATGTTAAAATAGCAGGAGGACCATGTAACCTCTAGGATATATAAGATCCTTATGAATTGATGGGATCTGAACCTCCATTATTCTTAGAGAAATGGGAAAGAGAATTGGGTACAAAAAATGAATGGGCAACAGAAGAATAAAATGTTTAAGTTAACCTCCCTGGAGGTATTCCCGAGTGTAGCTCGGGGTAAAGTTTCAACACCAAAAGTGGTAATCCCGAGCTACACTTGAAAATACCTTGCAGCGCTGCTCCGGGATCTCTTCTGCACTTACCTTGTCCTGCGCTCCCGCGATGTCCCTCCTGCAGTGTCCCTGGCAATGTCCTCCGGCCGATGCCGGAATCTGTCTTCCGGGTTCCGTACCCTGCGACTTCAGGACGTACGGGGACGGAACTGGCGGGAAATTTGAAAGTTGTAAAAGTCACATTCACTAAATACACTAAAATCACATAGTAAAACATTACTGTATCAACCCATTTCACATACATTTTGTCCCTAGTGCTTTGTCCTGTCCCCTGCCTGCATTTTTACCGTTCTTTCTGCCTGGAAACTGAGAAACATCCATGGCGTCCAAAAAGCGTCCCTTTAGGTCAAAAGCGGTTTTAGACCAGCTAGATAACAGCGATAGTAAATCAGAACTACTTGCAGAATTGAGTGATAATGATTCGTGGGGAAATTCATCATCAGACACTGAAAACGATTTTGCGACTTTGCTCAGTGATGTGTGAACTTGGCGCTATATTTCAAATTTCAGTGTTTTTGTTTGATTATATTATTTAATTACATTTATTATTATTATATTATTATTTTTTATGATTATTTATTAAATTATAATTTATGATTTTGTGTTTCAAATTTTAACATACCCGGAATGTTTACTAGACTCTTGTTTGGACAGATTTCAGTGAGTTATTCCTAAAACTTACAGGCCTACAGTAAAAAAAAATACATATTTCCATGCAAAAAAATGTACCGCTTTGAGCACAGAAATATGGACATAATCAGACCGCTAGGGAGGCTACTGCACAGGGTGATGAATATGAACACAGTTGAAATGAATTATAAATGTTTAACCAGATGGTATTGTACACCGAGTGTGGCAAATAAACAACGAGTAGATATTTCACCACTGTTTTGGAGGGGATGTGGGGAGAGGGGGACAATGGCACATATATGGTGGGACTGTCCAAAAATACAGGTATTTTGGCAAGATATAATTCAATATATACAGGAGATTTTGGGGATAACTATCCAGAAGGATCCATGGGTGTGCCTATTTTTTAGGACAAAGATGTCAGTGAAACAATATAAAAGTAGTATATTATATCATCTAATTAGTGCAGCAAAAGGTTTAATCCCCAAATTCTGGCAGGTACAAGAGCCTCCAACATTGAGAGACTGGATAGATAGGATCGAGTATATAAATAAGATGGAGGAGTTATACCATATGGATGAAGATAAAATGGAAAAATTTAGAAAGAAATGGAGTAGGTGGTAAGATTTTAAGACACCTGAAAAATGCCTTGAAGTGACTGGTACCCCAGTAGTAGAGTTGGAGAATTAAACTGAATAATCATAGAGTGGAAAAGTAAAGAGAGAAAACAGGGTTTTAGATATAGATTGGTATACAAAGAAGGAAAGAGATGGAAAGATGTGGACAGGGGTAAATTCATGGGGGGAAGGGATAAGGGAGGGATGGGTATAGAAAAGTTATTTGGATTGAACGTGTTTTTGATAAATTATATTATGATGGTCTATGTATTGAAATAAAATGTAATAAAAGATATAATTAATAAAATAAAATAGCAGGAGGAGTAGAAATTAAAGTGGTTGGTATAATGGTAATACTAAATTGCAGTGGGGTAAGTGTTCCATGTTAAAAAAAAACAGAAGGACTAGAAATTAAAGTGGATGTTAATCATTTTTACGTTAAAGCTGAGGTTTAGATGGTTTTTCTTGTAAAGTTACATTGAACCAGCTTTAACCAATGTAAGTATGCATATTTTATAACAGACCTTGTATAACCTGAAAACTCACTGTAGTAGTTGCCATTAGTATACGGAGCACTGTGGTCTTCTGGATCCTGTGCCAAAGCCTGCCCTTCTGCATTGTAACAACAGGAGGTTGCTTGCTCAGCATGGCCACCATTCAGTGAATGCCTTGCATTTTTCTCAATGAATGCAAAGCATTCTGTAAAATTAGACAAGGTGCAGAATATGATGTCACAGCCCTACCTCTCCATCTTATACATCCAGAGAACTCCTTGTATTGATTGAAAAAAATACAAAGTATCCTCTTAACAGCAGCAATGTTTACAATGCAGAAATGCACAGTGCTGATATCACTTTAGTAACAGCAACTACTATAGTGATTTACAGCTTACTTGGAATGCAATGCTCATGTATTGTTGTGCAACAACTACATCAGCATCAGTATTAAAGTAAAACTATAGGCAAAACGTTTTTTTTTTTTTTTTTCATTTTGGATAGAGTAAGGGGGGGAGGATATAGCCCCTGCCAATTTATTTTTTGCCATCTGTGTCCCATTGGGGAGATTTCCCTGTCCCATAGCGAAAACAGCAAGTGAGAAAATCTCTGCAAAATTAGGAAATTCCTTTGGAATCCCAAGGTCACCAGAACTAGGGCCTCAATTGGAAAATTTCCCCTCTATTATTTTTCTGGGGACAACCCAAAATGTGGGGTTTCTTTTTCCTTTACTTTCAATGATAATGGTAAACAGAACAAATAGAGAGGGTGAATCCGGGGGCACAGACAAGAGTGGAAACTTAATACACGTTCTAATTACTCTCCACTCTATACAAAACTTAAAAAAATGTTTTGCTTTCATTTATACTTTAAGTAGAGATATACTCTTCAACCAGTAGATGGCAATGTTTATAAGTTTGTAGCTACTTCTATGGTTAAACTCTATGTCTTTTCTTTTAATAAAGTTCCTGTTTTCTGTTTGCAGTGAAGCAGCAGATAAACGCATGTGCACTGTCTGTTTTGTAGGGCTATTTACAGAATCTCTAACACTTACACAGGAATCCATCAAGTGTGAGATGTGCCTACTTACTGTACATTGGTCTAATTTGGACAAATGTAACTGAAAAAAAAAACATACCTAAACTTTATTGCCCAACTCCAACCAAGACTTATTATTTAATATTTTATAGAGAAGATGGGACTTTCAGAGAAAAAAAAAAAAAAAAAAAAAAAAAAAAAAAAAAAAAAAAAAAAAAAAAAAAAAAAAAAAAAAAAAAAAAAAAAAAAAAAAAAAAAAAAAAAAAAAAAAAAAAAAAAAAAAAAAAAAAAAAAAAAAAAATAAAAAAAAAAAAAAAAAAAAAAAAAAAAAAAAAAAAAAAAAAAAAAAAAAAAAAAAAAAGAATGAATATGAATACCAAACATATTAAAAAGTTATATCATTTTTATTTCTAATTTTTGTAAAAAAACACAAGAAAGGAAAAAATACAGAAACATAAAAACAATTTCAGTTCTAAGAATACAACTGAGATTCAAACTTGGTTGTGTAATTGTAGTTACTCCCTACATGTTTCGCCCTCACAGGCTTCTTCAGGGGTGATTTTTTTTTAAAAGAAAATTTCTACCGCCGAGGCAGTCTAAAGGTATATCAGAGGAAAATTGTTCAATTACCAAACAACTTTAATATATCCAATACAGAGTATTTAATCAAATATATATACATATATATGGGACTCAATGGCTCACCCTGGATGTGAAAGCTCACGGAGCTAGGAGAAAATGGCTTACATGTCCAAAACAGTTTTAGAGGATATAATGGGCATCAAATATCATCTAGGCATAAGAGGATAGACAAAAAAGAAGTTGATTAAATTTAACGAAAGATTTGAAGAGATCATAATTCACTAGGTTAAGGTTACCTTTGGGCAATTTTACCTGTTAAATGCTTTAGAAGGATATATAGGTATAACCTAACAAAGATCTATTTGACCTATACATCCACAACCATAGGAGAGGAAACAATGGACATCAAACATCCATCTAGACATAATAGGATAGACAAAGAGATCAGAAACTAATTTTATTTCAAAAAAGAAATCAAGAGATGTTAGTTAATAAAAATTAACTTAAGCGATTTTACCTGTTGAAAATTGAAGAGAAATATAAAAGTATATTCTGTCTAAAGGTCTAATTGGCCTATAATGTCCAAACAAGGTTGAAGAATATAATGGGCATCAAATATCCATCTAAGCGTAACAGGATAAGGTTGGAAAATATAATGGGCATCAGATATCCATCTAGGTATAACGGAATAAACATAGGGGAATCAAAAAATGTATTTAATTCCAAAAAAGGAATATAAGGAAAGGGTTATAGGTTAATGAAGGGTTAAAGTTAACTAAACCGATTTTACCTGTTAAATAGTGCAATTCAAGTAGCAAGGGAAATGTGGGGATCAACAAAAACATGAATAACTAGTTAGTTAGTTTAGTTATT